AAGGTGCGGAACCCTTGATGTTTCTGTTTTGTGCCACATTGATCAAGGGTCGGAACCTGCTTCAAGTTGCGGAACCCCTGATGCTACTGAAATTCCTTCTGCGCTGGTCACAGCAACTTCACGGATGGCACGGCAACTTCACGGACTTGCAAACTTTGCTCTTAATCAAATATGTAGAAATTTCACTTTAGCCTTCAAAGTTCCAGATTCATCCTTGGATCCTCATCTTTTCAGCTCTTTGCATTTAAGTCCTTTTCTTCTAATTCTTCTCCATTTAACATCAAACCTTTAATCATCACAAAATTCACACAATATGAATAAAATAAACACTTCTGAAATTACTTATAAGAAAATACAATTCTTAAACCCATAATTTCACACATATCATTGGTTAAACACACTTTAAATATACATTTTCTTTCTTTCATCGTCAAGGCTTGCCTATTGATAAAAAGAGTTTTTACCTTTTTATGTCAAGGAAAAAAGAAAGAACAGTTGACCTGTTTCTGGCAGATTAGGCTTTGCAACATGATTCAACACTAAAAATTCCATCTGTAGTTTATAGCTTCAATTTCATGGTGATGAAGCATTAATAATTCATTATCAATGAAGGACTGCCGACCCTCCATTTAGCTAAGTGAACCTAACATATTGGGAAGAACAATGCTAATATAAAAGTGTTCAGAATAAAGACAACTGTCCTTTGAAGCATTTTGTTTAACAATTGTAAGCGCTAATTAAGTGGAGCTAGGAGTGCTCCAAATAATCCAAAGCAATGCATGTCACTCCTTCAACCCAACTGGAGGATGAGAATTTCGGAAGTAATAACCTAATTCAAGAACACCTCTCTCAGATTTTGCTTATAGCAATTATGATTCTTTTTTACCTAACTTTGTCCATTAGGCTCATCACAAATTTTGTTCTTCTTTGGTCAATAATTTCTTTTGAGTAGTAATCAAAAAGGGATGATTGGCATAAGAACAAAGGCAATGCGACAAAACATAATAAGACTAATTCATTGTGATCTTGGAGGCTCCCTGTCCACTAAGTTGATTAATAAAAGAAGTAGAATGTAGACTACAACATTTTTGCCATTTAGCTATAGACAAAATTTGTATGTATATGGTTAAAATCTATAGGTATATTCCATTCGAGACCTATATATACGGAGAAAAAAATGTAACTATATATCCTATAACTATAGATAATTAATTACGCAAATGTACATATTCCTACAATATTATATGTCGTAGGTAAAAGATTAATAAACTTATACCTGCATTTAAAAAATAGTAAGTAAAACAAAATACCTACAATATATATCCGTAGGTAAAGAACAATGGCAACAACATAATAATGGTTGTCATATTAACTTTTAATAACTATATTTATTATTACTAAAATTATTTTATAACAACATCATAAGTCATTACCTAAAGTATAATTTTACAACAAAAATAAGTTGTTATGTAAAGTAAGTTCAATACCCAAAAAATGTTGTTACAAAAAATAAATTATGCAACTAAATTAGTCATTATTAAAAGTGTATTTTCACAACGATTACAATTATTACCAAAAGGAAATTTCTCTACAATATAAATTATTTTGTAAAATAGTATTGGGGACAAGCCTACTACATGGGATATAAAAATCTCTCTACCATGTTGAGTTGTTGGTAAAAGATTTATTATGCAATTATTATAATTGTTGTAAAAAAATTGTTACAACAACCATTTAAAATGTAGGTAAAAAAGGTTTTTCCTAACTTTGTAAATTAGCTTAGAAACTGAGATTTAACAATAATTATATGTGGCTGCCATATAATAATTTAAACAACACTATTCATTATTTTGTAAAATATGATTTAGTAATATTAATGAATGTTGCAAAAAATATATTTTCTCTACCTTGTTGGACTGTTGGTAAAAGATTTATTATGCAACTCTTATAATTTTTATTAAAAAAAATAGTTATAGCAACCATTTAAAATATTGATAAAAAGGATTTTTCCTAACTTTATAAATTAGCTTAGAAAATAAGATTTAGCAACAAAAATATTTGGTTATTGTATAGTAATTTAAACAACGTCATCTACTGTTTTGTAAAATATGATTTAATAACAATATTAATAGTTACACTAAAAATCATAGGTATAGGTTAGTGGTATACCCATAATTATATGTGATTGAAGGTATATCCATTGTGTATACCTACGATTTTTTATATCTATAAGTAAATCTTAAATTCATATACCTATGAATTACATACTGTAACTAATGGTTCTTTTATATACCTATACCAATTGAAATTACGTAGATATAATGTAATTTTTCTTACGGTTTTTTTTGTGGATGTAGCTATAACTTATCCATATACCTACAAATTATAAATTATAACTAATAAAACCCTATACCTATGAAATAGTGAGCGTAGGTAAAAACAAGCGTAGCTAAATGGCAAAAATGCTGTAGTGAGAAGTAATGGCCCATGGCACTATAAATATCAATCCCTTCTAGCTTGCTCTTCAAGGCAAAGCATATCATTTCCCAAATATTTGTACAGAAAAATGGCTAGCTCAAGATTTTGTGCCTGTCTGCTGCTATTATTGCTTTCAATTCCATGGTCTGAAACTCGTCCATTTACTCCATATATAGAGAGGAAGAGCCTAATTTTCTCAATTCAAGCATTAGCAGCGGTGGAAGCTTTAAACCATAGAAAGGTAAATGACAACACTGACAACGACTTTTATGATTCGAATAGGCTGAGTCCTGGCGGTCCTGATCCCCAACATCATTAGCAATAAGCTTCTGCCAATGATGGCTATGCCAACATTGCTGAATGCTAATTGTTCTGGATGGGTCCCAGCATCACATTTTGCTTCATTTCCTAATATTTTGTGTCTCATAAATGCTTGCAAGCTTGATGAGTCTAAAACAGATCCTTGAGGCTGTTTATCTATGCTATCTATGTGTGTCCAGGTTTGGAGAATGGAATGTTTCTGCTGAAATAAAATTAGTGTTTCTTTTCCTTTGTGTACCTTTTAGGGTATGTTTGATTTGAGAAAAATGGAGTGGAGGGGAGGGAAATTTTTTTGTCTAGTCAAATTAAGATATTTAAGACATATACATCTTAATTGGATTAGATAAAAAAATTTCCATCCCCTCTACTCCATTTCCCTCAAACTAAACATATCCTTAGTTTTCCTTTGTGCCTTGGACTCAACTCATGGTTTGTATTTAGTAAATGAAGATGGTTTTAAAACTAAAGCTTTCTGTTTATCATTGATCATTATTCTTTCTTGCATAAAAAGAGATCCCATTAACTCAGAGCATTTAAGATATAAATTATAAAGAAAAGAAAAGAAAAAACAAACACACAACTAATAGTAGATAACTGATACGAATGCTCAAGTGGTGCTCAACTATAACAATGGATATCATAAAGAAAACTAAAGAAAACCCTTCCTCTCACCTATAACTCAGATTCTCTTTTGCTGAAATGCCCCATTAGAGTCCACATAGCACAGTACTTTATCTTGCATAAACACTGAAGAATGAGAAATCTTCTTTTTGGCCCAGAAGAATTAGTAATCTGAACCAAGAAAATTAATCCAACAGAGTGAGAAGAAACAGCTACGCTTTTGCTTTAATGATCAGGGTCTAAACCGTAGAGATCGCTAATCACTATATATACAGTTGCAAAGCATGGAGAATTCATCTCTCTTTCCGTCTTTGGCTGCCCTAGTACCTTTTTTCCTTTATAAAATGTTTGGTGGCTTGGTGCTTGAAGCACTTTTCAATTGAAAGCTATGGATAAAACAACTTTCATGGCTATATTAATAGAGTCAAATTCTCCTATGCACTTTTTAACATGTATGCCGATTAGAAAAATAGTCCTTTTGAGTAACCTTTTCTCAAGACCCCTCATTGACATTCTTCGGCACTTCAGCTATAGAAATGTCAAGAACTGAAGTTGTTTGGATAGTGGGACCGCACTTTCTCTTTTTTATCAAATGCCACATTTAACATTGTTTTAGGGAAGTATTCATAATGATTCTCTCAGACACTTCTTTTTCCATGGATTACTTTTAATTAGGTATCCACGAATCATGGGACGGAAAAAGGGGTTTTAAAGAAACTATAGGTCCCTGGCCTTAAAGAAAAAGAATAAGATGTCTCTTTCATGACAGGGTTTAAGGGTCTATAAGATTGAATGGGTTCATAAGAGAATTTTTGAAGTGAATACCAGCTAATGAAGACAACATTGTAGACTATGGTGGTGCTCTAAAATATGGAAAGATAAGATAAAGAAATAACGAATAGCATTGAATTGCACCTGCATTCCCTCACAGTTCTTAAATCTAGAAAATGTTCAAGAAAATAGCTTTGGGGCATACTAAGAAAATCTTAAAAGAACGGAACCGAAGGGTTTGCAAAGTCCCATTTCCAAACAGGAAATGAAGACATTGACTTTCAATTGGCAATTTTTCCCATGCCTCCTAGTCCTCACTCCTCCGCTAGTCAATGCTCAAGTCCCAAGTTCAATACCCTCTTTGCCTAGATTAGTATGTAATTGTATAAAAAGGATTGCATTTTTTATGGTAATATAGGATGGTGGTGAGGTTGTGCTTATATTTGCCCACTGGCTTTGGAAAAGCTAGGTTAAAGGTGAAGAAATCTTTGATTACACAATCTGTACTGGACGCAACGCATAACTTACCCATCACAGTCTGATGTCATCTGGATCACACTGGAATTCATACTTGCCTCATAGCCATTACTTTTACCTTAGGTTATCCATGGAAGATACATGTGAAAGAGATGGCGCATATTTATACTTATCCATGTCTGCCAACCCTTGTTTTAAGTTTTATTATTGGCAAAGCTTAGTCAGACCAACATATTGTAACCCAAACCTATGGCATGACAAAGTCGGACCAATAAAAATTAAGAACAAACGTTCAGTGGGAATGCAGGCTCAAAATCAATCCACATATGATTATATGAAAGCCTGCAGTGACCATCTGGGAATTAAGCAACTTGAGCCTTGAGATTTTATAAAAATTGGGCTATATCTGCTCTGTGGAACCAGCTATATCTTTGTCTACATTGCCCTCGTTAAACACAGTGTGATTGTGCTGAAAAGATAAGTTCCTGTTAATGTCCAGGCAAATATTGTGCATATACCAGGCAATTCCAATACGAAACAACTAACCACCAAGCTTCAGGAAATTTAACATGTACTTTGCTAAGGTAGTATGCAACAACATCTGGTAATTTTGAAGCTCTAAGCCTTCATTTTGTTATTCCGATAGTGCTTACTGTGAACGGAAAATAATACATAGAATGTTTTTACTTTTTATTTCAAGAATATGCTGTTTGGACAGTTTTTGATATCTAAAGTTACAGAAAAGACTGCTTTGATGCACAGAAGTTGACGGTTGGTGCGGTAATCAATCAATTGATCGGAGAGCTTTGCACCCAGGATCAGATCCTGCTGCCTTCCTGCAAAGCTATTTGTTGTATATGATGATACAAGATGAAGTCTTTGAATCATTGGACTGACCTGGAACAGAACAGATTCCAAATCATGATCTACAACTGAGTCTCAGTCTAGAATTAGTAGACATCAATGAGAAATGCCCCCTTTGTTAGATACTGGTTGGCCTCGAGTACAGGAACATTTAACTGGTACAACACTTTCTGTGCAAATGCCCACAGACAATTTACTAACTTGAAAAAATAATATTAGCTACGGAGGCATTCACTACACTTAAAAATATTGATTATTTGGAATACAACTCGACCAGAACACGTTCATCCCTAAAGAATTTTATTACAGCATGGCAGTATCCTTGTTCACTTCTCTAGGGAACTTGAACTTAGGATTTTGCTCCACAAAAGCTGGTGGTCGTTGGTAGACTACTGATGCAGCCCTTATTAAAATTCCAGCAGTTAAACCCCATATAACATACTTCTTATTGTCAAATTCATAGTCAAAAAAATGAATCAGATACTTATCTCCCATCCATTCTCTCTCTTCTGATCTTCGATTTTCATCCTGAATGAAAAAAATTCACTTAACACTCTTAAAGAAAGTAAAAAG